GAAACATAGCAGATGTTTTAAATGTGTCTTCTTCTCAGAGGATTCAGATTCTAAGCCAGCTGTGATGATGGCTCATGCCTGAAGCCCCAGCATGTAGGAACTTGAGGCGGGAGAATTGCTATAGTTTGAGGCCAGCCTGAGCTACATGCAAAGTTCCAGTCTAGCCTGGCTTACACTGATGTGAGATCCTGCCTTTAAAAGAAAAAGAGAAATCAGATTCTATTAAAAGACACTCAGATAACAGGCTTAAAGATGTAAGGCACAGCTTTGAGGAGGATACCTGTGATAGAGTGACTTCTGCAGGCCTTTCTGTATCACCTCCTGAGGTTGGGCAGGGGTCAGCAGAACATCAGGGGTGGCAGGCTTGCACACTTTCTCAACAAATGAGCAGGCAAATGAGCAGGAAATCAGTTCCCCTTGCCGAGAGGCCCACCGTGCTCTGAGCAGTCGGCAGTCACCCACCCGTCAGCGGCGATCTGCTGGTGGGTGAACCTATTCAGTACAAGAGAAAACAGATGTCTGCTCTTTCTGCCAAGTCCCTCTCTTGCATTTTAGGAACCGTTCCACAAGCACAGGGAGGGTTTGTTAATTTCTTTCAGATGGTGACTGAGTGCTTTACACCGTGTGGGACCTCCAAGCCTGGCTTTTCTACTCAAGTGAGCATTACTGCCATTTAGCCCCCTCACAGCCGGTATGGGACCTCTTTTTCCATGTGTTAGAAAAGCCCCTAAACCGCATCTGTGCCTGGGGACATAAAGAGGCCCTTTGCCCCCTCTCCTCTCGGCTACCTGTAATTGACAGTGTAACTTTTTCAGGCATCGTAATTTATTGTTTAGACATAATGAAACAGTTAGGGTCGTGACTGATTTTAAAGAGACTAAATCTTCCTTCAAAACACCACCAATTACTATAAACACTTTATGTCCCATTTCCTATGAGTATATACAGTAATGAGACTTTGTGGAGGTTTAGAGGAGTTGATGGGGTGGGGGAGGCTGACTGATGTGACCAGCCTTGGGGATTCATCCCAATCTTTTGTGTTTTAAAGTTTAAATTACTGCAACATTGTAGGTAGTGTTTGTAGGACAGGTCAACTGCATAGACAGAAAGAATACACAGCACTCACTGTAATAGTCATCCCAGATGAGGAAAATTAACTGAGGAGGTTATTGCTATGGGAAACAAATACCAGCAATCTTAGCAGGCCTAGGACAGGAGTTAGTGGAACGGTGTCTGTTAGCATGCAAAAGGTCCAAGTTCAGATGCCCAGGATATTTTTTTAAGTCATAGGAAATATTTACATATATTATTCCATTGTATGTTGCTCTGTCAGACTAAGTGAACCCTCTCCATTCAGGTTTTAAGAGTTTTAATATTTGAGGGTTTTTTTCCCCTATTGGTCAACCTTCAAGTTAAATTAAAACTCTACAAAGTACATAGCTGCCTATTTATCCCAGTGGCAGCTAATACACATATTAGAAAGTACTCCTGTCTACCTTGTCAACGCCCTTTTTAAAAAGACCCAAATGTATAACAAATTCCGTGAGCAGGCTTGAGTATGAGCCGTTGAAATCTTTATAACATAATTTCAAAAGTGTAAAGAAGTTTAGTGTGCATGTCTCATGCGACATATTTAGGTCATGACAGTATATCTTTGCCTAAAAGCTGTGTTTTCATGACCTTTAATTAGCCAGTTCCTGCCTTAGTATGAAACTAAGCATGGTTTAGGAATCTTAATCATGTCCCTCCCCGACTGAGGAGCCTCTAAAGCTTTCTTATTCTGCAGAGTGTGACTGTCAGGTGTCAGTCCGTCCGCCATTCTGACCCAATCCACCTCTAGGGAAGGAGACTGCTCAAAACATGGTGTTTGTCTCCCTGAATTAGCAGTTACTTAATGGTGTCAGGTTATCAAGCTTGTCTCTCTCAAAATTCAAATTGTTTTAGACTAGAAAATAGTGTTTAACTCTCCCTTGTTGGATGGGGAGAGATGTTGAGATATGGTCTCACACTGTAGCCTACGCTAGCCTAGAACTCACTTTGCAGCCCTGATGCCTTTCACTTTACAGCAGTTTTCCTGTCTCAGCCTCTGTGAGTGCCAGCCTCATAGTTAAAGCATGGGGCTTCAAGTTTTGTAGTAAGGCTATAATGGTCATTTTCTTCAATGTCAACACTCCTGGAGTGGAAAAATCTACCACAGTAACTGACAAATTAAAGCCAAACTCCTTAGGGGACACCTTGCAGTCTGGTTCAGTGTTTTGACTTTAGCTTGTTCTCAATGCCCTGTGTTCTCTCCGCAAACTAACTAACTCTCCCATCTTTAAGAGAGCGCCCCCTCTCCATTCTCCCAGCATGATGTATACATATCAAACTTTCTTCACTATGTTTTCTGTCTCTTCTGTTGGTCTGTAAGCTGTTAGAAGATGGGATTTGAGTGACAGTCTCAGATATGTGGCATGCGTTGGAAAAGTCCCTTTCTCTGTGAAGCTATTTTCAAGGAGCAGTGGCCCAGCTTGTGTAGGCTTCTGCAGTAACCAAGCTTCAGAGACTGGGGAGGTTGGATATGAAAGGAGAGAGCTCATGGAGGAACCGTGGGATCGGCTGGGTGGCAGGAGTAGAGGCAGCACAGGAAGTAGAAATAAAGGGTCAAGGCTTCCCCTCTCACCCACCTCAGAGAGTATGAAAGTTTTACTCCTAAAGCCAGCTTTATTGTCTTTCCTTGTATTTTGAAACACTGCCTGCATGATTGCCCTACATCCATTAAATAACTTGGCATGTTTTCAACATTAAAGATACACTTCCATCTAATTGACAATAAGATGTTTTGTTCAGCATTGAGCTGACCAGTGGTAGTACCACAGTAAACTCTTAATCTCAGCTAGAGCAAAGATGCAAAAGCAAAGATAGGTGCTGTTTTGATTAGCTTGTGAATGGTTAATGAAGGAATTTATTGCTATTAAGCATTTTGAGATTTTTTTTTTCATTTGTTTATTGGACCTGCCTATAACATACTCTAAGAAGCAGTGTTCAGGTTCCTCTGGGCTCAGAGCCAGTATTCTCTTGTCTTTGGCCTGTTTGTACATTATCTTCCTTCATATCTGGGCCAGGAAGTTCTAAGGGAAGTATATGTTGCCTATATTTCTGTCTCTGTTAACTTTAGCTCTTGAGAATACAAGGACATATGTCATTCTGTGAGAAACTAAGTCACTTCATCCATTTATCCATCCTAGCCTGTGTTAATGTGTGTGATGTCAGGGATGAACCCCAGGGTCATGCCCCACAAGAGCTCTTCAGTGAGCTGAAGCCCAGCTCCAGGTTATCTTAAATCTTACAAAGACAAGTAGAACACAAAAGGGCACTGTTTGTTGTCCCTTGAAAATTATACGAAAGGAACGATTTCATTTCAGGTTTAATTAATGCTAAGATATATTACAAAGACTGTGCAATGCAAACACGCGTAATGTTTCACATATATTTTTAGAATCCTGTGTACTCCAGAAATCGAGGAATCCATAATGAGGATGTTACTCTGTTGCCAAAGGCTAAGATATCAATTAATTACTTCACTAATAGCACTCATTAAAGAGAACTTAACTCATATGCTTTAATGTGTAAAGATAAAGTTGGAGAACTGGGAATACAGTCCTGTGGTACGACACTTGCCTAGAAAGCTCAAGGCCCTGGGTTCATCAAAACTAGAAGCAAGGGAAATAGAAGATCAAAGGAAAGTTTCAAGTGAAGACTGTGCCAACCTCAGCTGCATAGGTGAATTTTGACTTAGTCAGGACATATTCTTGTTGTCAGCAGGCTTTCCCTCACAACTTGAATGCCATACTCTTCATATGCACACATTTCGGTCACTGCTTTTGGGGAAATTCAGTCATATGTCTTTATCCAGCTGAGACCTCTCTAACCAAAGAAGAGTGAATGGGAAGTGACAGTTCTCAGATGTGATGGGCTTCTTAGTCAGCTGGACATGCCGCTAAAATGCAGCTTCCGGCTCTGCAGGTGCAGTGTGGGCCTGAGGTTCTACATTTCTAATCCAGTACTCAGCCAGTACAGTCCACTGACCCAAGGGCAGATGACAGTTGACCCTTTATAGAACAGAGATTAACCAAACCTGCCCTCTCCATCTATTCTCAATTCTAAGATTTGCTCTGTCCATGCCATACCGTTTGCTAAGGCTTACAGTTTCTAGTTTAGGTTAGAAGCTATCTTTTTCTTGCTAATGACCATTATTTAAAATAGAATAGTAGTCAAGCCTTAAATCCTAGAACTCAGGAGGCAGAGGCACTCTGAATTCAAGGCCAGCCTGGTCTACAGAGTGAATGCTAGGACAGCCAGGGCTACGGAGAAAGACCCTACCTCCAAAAATGTGTAAAAAGTAGAAAATAAAAAATGGAACCAAATATGGTGGTCTAGACATCACTAATCTCAGGTCTCAGAAAGCTGAGACTGAGGATTGTGGTGTAGTGAGGCCATGTATCAAAGAAAAGAAAAGAGAAAAGTACGCGTAAATAGTGTTGATTCTACCATGGGGCAGTAGAGGGAAGTTATCCTTAGCCTGCACTGGACTCTACAGGCTTGGTCCCGAGTCTTCCTTCACAGATTTCTAAGTTGAATTATTAGCAGTGATAGCCTCCTGTGTAACAGTGAGCTTGCAATGGACTTCTGGAAACAGCAGAGGTCAGTTAATTTTGGAATCACTGCATGCTGCAGGGAGTGTCTGTTTCTGAGAGCATCCTCCCCAACTCAGTGCAGGCTGGTGGTGTCACTTCCACAGCCTGCTGAGGGTGACACTGGGGACCACGACAGGCCTGTGCAGGTTGTTCAAAACTCAGACATGATTTTCAAGTGTCCAGGGTGACTTGAGTGTTCGATACATACTCGGCCTCACTATGTAGTACTGGAAGGACTTGCAGAGCCAGTGGCTGAATGCAGAGTGCTACTGTGAGTGCTTCCCTTCTGTTGGAAAGTGACAGTGTCTCTCTGTTCTGCCTTAGCAACAGGAACAAGATCCTACCAACCTGTACATTTCTAACCTGCCGCTGTCCATGGATGAGCAAGAACTTGAAAATATGCTCAAACCCTTTGGACAAGTTATTTCTACAAGGGTCCTACGTGATTCCAGTGGTACCAGCCGTGGTGTTGGCTTTGCCAGGTGAGTAGGCTGCTCTCTCCTTATTAACTCTAGTAAGTCTGCTACATCACTCTAGAACGAACAAAAAAAAAAAAGACTGGAAAGAGAATGTTTGAGGCAGAGTCATAGGAGCCTTTTGTACTGTAGACTTTAGCACATGACATTACATGTAAGCTTTTTCCGAATCTTGAAACATTTTAGACTCCCCAAACCAAGCACAGTAACGGCTTGTTGCTGGAACTATTACAAGAACAGTGGCCCTGGACACAGGATTCTGACAGTTTGATTCATGATGCTTGTAACTCCTCACAAATAAACATCCTAAGGTTCACAGATAAATCAGTATCTTTTTTTGCTCAGATAGAAATTTGATTCATTATAACTATTTAGTTAGGTTTTTAAGATAAATATTTCTAATATTCAGGAAAGAAAAAGGGATATTATCTAACCATGTCATCAACTTAGCAACTTTGATTCATTATAACTATTTAGTTAGGTTTTTAAGATAAATATTTCTAATATTCAGGAAAGAAAAAGGGATATTATCTAACCATGTCATCAACTTAGCAGTTGTTAATAGTTGATAATTCTTCAGGTTTAGTTTCATGACTGTTCTAGGTATAACTGAAGCACCCCCACCCCTCCTATGGAATCTCTATCCGTTTCTTCTTAGAAAGAATACTTTAGTGGCTAAGTTGGTTTTTTAGAGAATTAAATTAAACCGAATGAGATTTGATTTGTGGCAGATTTTTAATCCTAAAGCTCCTACATAAAAGCTGATTTTACAGTGAATTATTTAAGAAGTTTTAGCAGTGGGCACTGACAGATAATATCAGCAGGCATTAAATTATTAGCTGATTTTTGGAGGGGAAATGCTGACATTTACTTAACTATACAAATCACAGTCACATCTTCATGCAAAATTGTGATTTCAGTAAAGCATTCATTACTAAGGGACCTTATTGTCACCTCACCATTAAGTCACAAAGGCAAGGGCTGCAACAAGGTTCTGTTGGCCTTTAGTCACTTGTTCTGTTGGGCCAGACAGGCTGGAGGAAAACCCAAATACTTTTCCAGCACTATTAGTAGCACATACTCACTACTTCATTGGTGAAGAGGCACCAGTCAAGACGTTTGGAGGGCCAGCCTCGCCATCCTTCCAAGGTGCTCTTCTGTGTGCAGATAAGTGTGACATCCTCACAAAGTCCTGTGGAAGAACTGTGTTGTTTTTTAACCCCTATCGCTGCCAGTTAAAACTAAAGTGTGGCTGAGTGGACCAGAGTATGGTGAATTCTGAGTAGGTGATTGGATGTTTCCATTGAAGAAAAGCAAGTCAAAGTAATGAAGTCCCCAGAAGTGCTTCTCAAATGTATTTAGTCACCTGTAGATGTAAAATAAATTGTAAAGTGAGGCTTCAGTTCTTAATTCTTCCTTCAAAGTCAAGATGACAAAATATGTAACTAAGTTCACTGATCTAATTTTAAAACTCGAGTGAAAGATAAAAACATACAAGGTACATCCTCTGGTTGACACTAGTCAATCATTATAGCCCTTTTAGTATTGTCATTTTTTTAAGTTCATAAAGGAAAGACTACCTTTAAAACAAAATTTCTAAACTGTTGATTTTTAATGCAAGTCGTGACTAAGTATTGTAAGTTAATTTTTAAATTTCTTAACAATTAGAAAATCATGATCAGATGCGACTGCAGTGAAACACTCTGCAGGGAATTTACTCCGTCTTTTATAATTCAGGACATGCTCTGGAATCAGTTGTTATATCGTAGAAATGCCAAAGCAGTGACTCAAGAAAGAATAATCCCTCTTCTTCTTTATCTTACCCATGGTTTTCAGCTAGGTTCATTTGCATCCTAAACCTAAAGCTGTACTTATAAAAGTCTCTTTGTGCTATGCGTGTACAGTTTGTGAATGTCTTATTTTCATATGACTAGGATGGAATCAACGGAAAAATGCGAAGCTGTAATTGGTCATTTTAATGGAAAATTCATCAAGACCCCACCAGGAGTTTCTGGTATGTTGTTTACCTACAGTTTTATCAATCCTCATTTTATATAGCACGCATATAACTTTAGCACATAATGGCTCTTAAGACCAAAATCCTCTCACTTTACTCTTGAAAAGGAGCTTGTTTATATTGGCAAATAAGATTTTTTTCACATTTACTGACCAGGAAGAGGTTGAGTATTACCTGGGGTACTACAGAGCTGACTTGCAAAGCATTGTAGAATCAATTCTGTTGACCACAGCCATCTTTTATCCCACCTCACCACCATCCACCGTGGTCTTCCCATGACTGGGCACACCAGTGATAGCTCAGCATCTTTGTCTTCAGAGTGGCTGGACCTCAGCTCCTATGGCTTTTGTCACTTCAAAAGTGATACCCTACTTCAGTCACTTGCCTGCATCATCTGCCTGTGTTATCATTAGTCAGAACCACAACACCTCATGATCATTTTATGCCAATATACCAACCAAACCTCTGATCTGAAATAGAAAGGGACTCCTGTTGTTGCTGAGACTTGACTTCTGTCTTAGTCAGGGTTTGTATTCCTGCACAAAACATGACCAAGAAGCAAGCTGGGGAGGAAAGGGTTTTTGACTTACACTTCCACATTGGTGTTCATCACCAAAGGAAGTCAGGACTGGAACTCACACAAGGCAGGAACATGGAGGCAGGAGCTGATGCAGAGGCCATGGAGGGATGTTACTTACTGGCTTGCTCAGCTTGCTTTATTACAGAACCCAGGACTACCAGCCCAGGGAAGGCCTTCCCACTCTTGATCAGTAATTGAGAAAATGCCTTATAACTGGATCTCATGGAGGCATTTCCTCATGGGAGGCTCCTTTCTCTGTGATAACTCCAGCTTTTGTCAAGTTGACACACAAAACCGAGCAGTACAACTTCATAATCTGTTTTCTGTCTCTCTAGAATCTGTGGTATGTTTATACAGTGCTTACTTTAGTGACAGCCTTGGCAACAACACTCATTATTGCCTGTGACTACCGGAAGAACGCTGAGACTGGAGCTATCCTGAGCTAGACCATTTTAACTTTCTCTGTGCCACCATGAAAAGCAGCCAGACACTCAGCGCCACTGACTCTCCTGCAGTGCCTCAGGCCCCCCCATCATCAGCCTTTCTCCTCTTCACTCACCTGTACAGTCCTGTAGCCACTCAAAGGAGATGCGCTCACTTCCTATTTAATGAATACAGTCTAGAGTACCAGAAATGCCATTCAGTTTCTGCATCCTTTAGTAAGGATTCATGCCTGTGCCCTGCTCTTCCTTTCTCTTTCCATAAGGATTTTAGAGTGGTTTGCAACCTTGTCCCACTGGGGCCTTACTATGCCTTCCTTTCCTATAACTCTCTCTGTTTTTTGCTTATATCCCATGTTTATGACAAAACAATAAAAGCTTTTATTTTAGATTTATAAAAATAGCATGTTTCTGACTAGATTAGTTGGTGAGCAAATGGAAGGAAATCCACAGATAATGTTCTAGTTTCATTTGTATTGCTGTGATTAAAAATACCCTTATAGAAAGCAACCAAAATGGGTTTATTTTAGCTCAATATTCCAGGTTACACTCTGTCACTAAGGGAAAGTGGAGGTGGCAAGAAATTGCATCACACCCACAGTTGAGAATGGGGAGAGGATGGATGGATTCATGCCCACTTGATTGTGCTTGGCTTGATTTCCCTCATCTTCTATAGTTTTGAACCCCTTGTCTAGTGAATGGTGCCACCCACAGTGGACGTGGCTCTTCCATATCAGTTAACTGGAGACAGAGTCCCCCAGACATGCCCATAGTCATTGGGACTTTGTCCCAGGAGATTGTAGGTGTGTCAAATTAACAAAACTTGTCACAATTAAAAACAAAAAGTTGTAACTATAGCTATAATAGAACGGTTTTTAATCACAAAATTTAGTGAGTAGGAGTGTAAACTACTTTATTCCAAGGTATTTTCCTGAAGAAGATATCCATTTGTGTTTGAAATCATCTTGGACTTTAGTGATCTCAAAGTGAAGTAGGGTGGTCTTAATTTCCATCACTCCTCAGTTCTCTCCAGTGTGGTATCTTCTTCCATGTAGCTTAAATTTGGCCAAGCATTCTGTTTGCAAAGGCAACTGTACCAAAACAGCACAAACAGTAGATTAGTGCCTCAAACTCCTGGTGGCCAGATAGCCAAGTGGAAGGAATACAAGATTGGTTCCTTCTGAGCACTGGGAGGGAAGGGTCTGTTCTAGGCATCTCCTTGGCTTACAGTTGGCCATCCTCTTCCCATGTCTCTTGACTTCACCTACTGTGTCTTTTCATTTATGAGAATGCCAACCATGGTGGTTAATGGCCCACCCTAGTGATATCGTCTTTATTTTGAACCTTAAGTTCCTGTCTATAATGAGTCACATTATGGGGTGCTGAGAGTAAAGGCTCTAGCATGTTGTTCTGAAAGGGAGGGAGAGGAAGATGGAAACATGGTTCACTTGCTCATGACTGACATCTTCTGCTGCATATCACCATCGACTCAGTCACTCCCTGTGCCCCCATGAGTTTGCTAGTTCTTTATCACATTTCTGACTAACATTTCTGATAGATTTTACACAGTCTAGAGTATCCAGTCCATGTTTCTGGTCTTAGTCATTCGTCTCTTCTTAGCTTTCTATTGAGTATCAGTCTCCAAAACTAGACTCTTTGCCCTCATTGTTGATGATCTTGCCTTCTTTACCTCAGTAGAATCAGACACCCAAATCAGAAACCCAGCACTGGATTCCCCTGGCCACCTCTGTCCTTCCTCTCCCCCATTCAGATAATCACTCAAGTGCCTGATTTTTCTTCCTAAGTATTTCTGCCCCTTCCCTTCTTGACTGCTATCATTGCCCGGTGTGTCTCTTGTCTCCCATTAAAGTAGCCTGCCATTGGCTTGTCCTGTCTGGCCTGACCTTCCTCATTTTGCTTCCTAAATAGCCAGAGAACTTTAGACAAAATACACACGTCTGTTCACTCAGCTCTCATGCCCATCACCACTGAAGATAAGACCCAGGGTTCCCAGAATGACACTAAAGGCTGTGTAACTAGAGCCCTTATCCCTCAATGCTACCCTCCATTTCTACCTTTTGGCCTGTGTCCTCAGTAATGACTCAGAAGTAGAGCCCCTAATATATGTCATTACTACCTGTGTTCTCTCTTGTGGCTCCTATACCTTGATCTTGTAACTTCCTGTTAAAATAGAAGTGCTCTCCTTACCTTCCTAGACTGTTGAGAGTTTTCTCCCTGTGGGACCTACTCTGACCCAACTGGGTTACATTCTGCCTGGGGAACCCCAAAAGGGTTCACACTGCCATCATTACACTGATTATGTTCATACGTGTCAGTCCCACTGTACAGGAAGCTCCTAGAAATACTTCTCGTCTCTGTATGTTCATGCTTTGCAGTGACTGAGTTATACTAAGCAACAACCAGTGTTCATTAGCTTTGAATAAATTTTGCTTTGTCATAGCACCAAGGCAACACTGGCACCTTACAGGGTAGAATGTGGGGGAAGACTGAATTGGTTGGTTGGTTGGTTGGTTGGTTGGTTGGTTGGTTGGTTGGTTGGTTGGTTTTTCCATCAAGAACACTTGGATGAAAGAAATGAGTGTTTTAACCTCAAACTAGTAGAAGCCTGCCCTGTGAGTTTAGCACAGTGCCAGTTTGAGTATCCTCTGCATACTCAAGACACCAGTCACACACACACAGCTTTCTTCCCTTCTGAAAACTGGTCTCCACCAACTGGTGACCTCTTTTGGTTCATTCTTCATGCAACAGCAATATTGGTTGAAAAAGGAAAAGGATCCAGGGCCATTGTATCAGCCTGAGATAAAATCTGCCAGCTTCTCTGTAAGAGAGACCTCAGACTTACCACAGACTGGGTGAACAGTTTCCTTTGTTCTTTAAAGGACTTTGTGGTTGTGTCCTTAAACTGTTTCCTTTGAAGTGGGTTTACAGACCACTGGCCACACCCATTCAAGGAAAACCCCCTGGTTTCCAAACCAAGTGTGGATGATTGTTGTAGCCTGGGAAACACTGCAGCTGGTAGAGAAGAGTTTCTTCCAAGTTGTACCAAGGGGCAAATGAGTACGAGAGACATGAGTCTCATCTGCGTTGCAGGCCTGGCTGCAGAGGCCTAGCTAGCTCTGCAGCTGAGGCTGTGTTCCCATCCAGTGCTTCATGCTACTTCCTTTCTGAACCCTTGATGATTTCCCTGTGTAATAATCCGGGTTCAGGACTAGGTTGCAAGTTGTTTGGGCAGGAGCATTTGGGTTTTGTTTTGTTTTTTTGTTTTGTTTTTCACACCACCCTATACCTGCGGGGCTCATTGAGTGCTTTCTCTGAGCTTTTGTCATGTCGTGCTCATCCTAATAGTCAGAGCTTCTTGGAGGCCTCTGACATATAAATGAAGTTGAACTGCCTCTAGGCTTAGTGTGGGATTTGGAAACACTCTTCCAGTAAACTCAACCTTTTGCCAAACAAGTCCCTAGCACACGTTGGAACCCATGAGGAATCTGAAGTTTTCTGCTTCTCTAGACTTGCTACTTTCATGCACATACTAAGAGGAGCTTTGGAATCCTAGCTAGTGGTGTCTCAGAGATAGCTCTCTCTTCATCTGGGGAAAGTTAGAGATTATCAATCAGATTGGGTAGAAAATAAGATGATAGGGGTAAGCAGGTTACGTTGAGTGTGCCTTCCTGAATGGTTAGATCCTGCAGGCTCCTTCCTAGATAGACATAACATCTCATAAACACAGCCAGAGGATGGCTTATTTGACCATGCATTGTTTAGGTAGCATAAGCAGAATTACCCAGTGTGGTTCCTGTCAGAGTACTTGGATTCTTGCACAGTTGGCAGTTTGCCTATGACACCGGAGCCAAGTTCAGAAAAGAAAGGCACTTAAGCTAGAATTGCATCCTGATACAGCTTTTGTCCTGGCATGCTAGAGTCCTCAAAGGATCTGCTGCTGGTCCTCAGTCATTGAC